AAAAATATTGAAGTCAATTCTTCATTAAACCCGTGAAGATCCGGATTAGAATAGTTCTACAGCAACCCATGCTTGCCGTAAAAGGCGACTATGCTTGTCGTAAGAGGCAACTAATGGAGGTGGTCAGGTTCGCTGACTTGGTTGATGCATGTCATCGTATCTCAATTGCGTGGATCGATGCTCATGATGTCAATCACTGGATTGTCTGTTCCAGATTCGATTATTTACAGACCACCGTCATATAGCTGGAATATTGCTGAGTGTGACAACAAATAAACAAATAAACAAACAAACAAACAAACAAACAAACAAATCTTAATTGAACAGCAAACACATAGTGAGACAGATGTAAGTCCTAGTATGGAAGAAAGCTTCTTCAAATCTTCTAATTTGGTCACAGGCTATCATTTCATGGGCTACCATGAGCAGAACTTACTAAACAGAAAAAGAATTCACTAGACTCTGGAATTGTACTAGTGTAGTGGCTAAAGTGCAGACTGAAGTCTGGTTTCAACAAGATAAAGATGGGCATCAGTCAGTACAAAAGTCTCCATCATGATACACATATCATCAATCAACTGCTGAAAAAGTAACCAAAACAGTGTCAGATCTTCCATTGAGAAAAGTAGTGTCTACAAACAACTTTTCCAGATCATGTTCATACCCTCTCATCCTCATCTATCAAACAACCTACAGCTACATTTCACATCACAGATTCGATTTGTTGTCATCCGAGAATATAAACTCAATTCTCAATCCTATGTGAAAGCCCTATCAGTTTTCTGAATGGAATCCAATTCAATTGTCAATGTCCTAAGTAGTTCCTTTGAGTGTGTCAGCTGTGCTAGCAGAAGACATAAATACCCTCTAAATCAACCCCAAAGACACTACCCAGAGGACCAGACTAGGTCTGCTACAATGTAATTACTAACAGCCTCTGATTGGTTTGTTCACTCATCCAGGTATCGGCAGATCGCAACAGCTCACGATATTTTACCCTGGAACCCGGAATCTGATCGATCCTGATGGAATCAATAGTTACAACTTCCGCTCATCATCAATCCATCGGAAACAACCCAACTTTCTGCCATAAAATTGAGTCTGCTGGACCACAATCCCATGTCTTATCACCACTAAAGCAGCTTAGTGAGTCAAGTTCTTTTTTAGCTGAAGCCTGATCAATGATCTCAATTTTGTTATTCATCAGCCAGAATCTCAAAGTTCCGTTTTCCATCACACATCAATGGTGATGATACTGATATGGGCTGGACTTTTCACATGTTATTACTTGTGTGGTTTTGTCCACTGGTTAAAAAATCAATTACAGATGAGAGATAACAATTCTACACAAATATATGAGCATTGCAAGAAATAGTGGTATTTTAGATTTGTCTGTGAATTTGGAATTATTGTTCCTATCTATAATATTAAAGATCACAATTGATAGGACAGTTCATCAAAATAAAACTGATAGATTTTCTTCATATTCTACCTTCTGTTGTGACAGCAGATGTCATCCTTCCATGGAGTGATATCTCTTGAATATGTATCCAAATTGCTTTATTTCAAAGTCTCTTTGAATGTTTTGGGTCAGCAATCAATATGGGGTCAGTTTAGCAATGAGAAACCGGAATACCAAAAACACAAAGGACCAGTAACTCAAAGTCACTTGTTCTCTACCACTGCTAGTCCTCAGAAGTGCCACCATCTTGAAACCAAAACATTCGTAGTATTAGTATGTCACTGTACTCTTACATTCTTGATCAATGCTATTGCCTGATTCATGCCGATCAGTCTCCAACACCAACACTATCCTTTTATCTGGAAGCTAGGGCCTTATAAAAGATTTAGTTGGTTTACGAGACAGACCAACAAAGAAGAACTGAAATCAAAAATAAAATGAAGTGACTTTGATAAATTATATTTTGGCCAAATCTTCGATGAAATGAAAAAAACAACAACCATAAAACAAGAGATTTTATCACCACTGTTTCGTAAGAAACGGTGAGTAATACTTATAAATATCTCTATTCTAACAAAAAAGGTCCTATTGAATTATCTTTTGGAATTGTTAGCAAGGTAGCAATATTAATCTTGAATATTAAAAGTATTTATCAACACCTACAAGGAATTTTCTTAACCACCTAACAAAAAATAAAAGGCCTAGTGACAAATTATTAGCACAAGTAAAATGATGAAAAAACTCTCCTCCTGTTGTCAGGTAGCAATTTCACTTTTCAACATGAAACAACTTAGTAAACTTAAGTCTGGCAAACTCTCAACAACTTGCAACCTCTTCTGCTAGGTTGGTGGGTGAAAAGCCATAGCAGACAGCAACATTATAACTCAGACAATACAACTATTGTATAAAACCCATATCACACTCTCACTCAGACACATCACCATTACATAATACTTTGTACTTCTCAAACACTCTCTGACCCAAAGCATGCCGCCAAAGAGCTCCAAAAGAGTTTGAAAGCCAACACTTGCAGACATACATGTTTACAAGCTGATCCATCTTTGCGGATGAACAAATATCAGAATGTGCGATAGCTCCACTAAAAGATTCACCTTTCACTACGGCTGTTACATGACGATGATCTGTGAAAATGTTCTATATAAAATAGCATTAAGCAAATGCTCACTAAAAGCATCAGGCCATCCAAGATGATACAGGATTGAGATGAGGGTAATTCAGAACTAACAGCAGCAAACAGACTGCGTACATCATTAGCTGTTTGTTCTCAACTTCCAACAGGGCTGATACAAGTGCCTACAGCACAGAAGATGTGACCAGATAGCTATTAGATATAATCCTCAATCTCATTAAAATCAGATCTTAGTTCTCACTGGGGTTTCTAAACAAAGATCTGAGGACATCACATTATGGGTCACATCAAAATGACCTTTCATCCGACCAATCAGAGCGTTGCTTACCAGATCATGCCAGTTACAGGCTTTATGACTGAATCCATACATTCTAAGCCATCTATGAGCCATTCCAGAATGTTCACTTGTTCAGTTTTCACATTTTTAATTGAGAAGTTATCAAAACATGTCTCAAAGCTTAGTCGCCAGTTTGAATCTAGTGGCCTGAAGTACAAGAAAGCTGCCTTTTGATTGACTAATGTCGACTTTTTGTCAGTCATTCCATTTGTCGGTCATAGTTCCGAAAAGTCAGTCTGACATTACCTGTAATGGGATGTCCTCAGATCCTTGTTTAGTGCTAATGAGAACTAACATGATTTCAATGAGACTGATATTATCCTACACTAATAAACAACCCTTGACTGCTCCTCCTTTAGACTGTCTTACTTGAAAACTTGCTACAGACAAAAATATAAAAGTAAAAGATATCAAAAAGTATTTAGTAAGGATAAGAATTTATGGATGAACAACTTCTTTATAACAATTAAAGCGAGCGAACACAGAGCGACGTTTCGGTGTAGGCTCTAACACCGTTATCAAGCAAGTGACATACAGAGTGTGGTTGACAAAATATATATATAGGTTAAAGTATTTAACTCCAAGCATCTACCATTTTTTCTTTATTTTAAACGCCAAGGTGTATATTTCTTTCAGACACTCTTTACCCATTTAAAACATTTTAATTTAAATTTTCGACTCATGATTTGGTCTGACTCATCTTCAGTATCTTAGTTTAAAAGTTCTCTAAAGTGCTTCTGTTTAGCAGGGACAATGTGGTGTAAACAGCATACATGTTATACCCAACACATTTCTCCAAATAGTACTTCCTGAATTTATATTTTCAGACCCCTTCAACAGATTCAAGATGTCTGCAAAAGCAATCTACAAAGTTGCTCCGATGCCTACAAATTAGGTACAGGCTCCCAAGGCACAGGAGCTATTTAGACAGGTGGCAACAAGATCACAGTAATAATATCGTCTCTGGGACTGTGGAAGTCCCTGCACACTGTGTGAGGTGATAAATCCCATAGACTGACAGTCTCATTCGTGTCCCCATCGGCTTCATCACTCTGACCTATACCTGTGTCTAATTATGTCGCCTACGCATGGGCACTAAGAGTGTCAGATGAGAGTTTGGGTTTCCCTGGGTTTTGTCTCTCAGTCACCGACGTCTATTCTGGTTTACTCATGTGTCGTCATGAAGGATACTTTCATTTCCACAACAGGTTCAATTCCATTTTCTCTCAACGTTGTTGGGTTCCTATATCAAACAACAGCTATTTACCATGTTTACTCGTCAATTCAATTACTGAATGGTTTCAACACCTGTGGTGTTCCAGGTTCAAATTGTCCCCACCAACCTATGCTTGTCATAAAAATGAGAAATGGATCAGGTGTGGTGACTTGGTTGATTGTGTGTCATGGTATCCCAACAACGTAGGTTGGTGCTCATTACATCAATCACTGGTTTGTGCGGTATGGTACAATAGTCCAATATTGCTATCTCCCTTGTCTCAAACCATGTTTCATATAGTTGTTTTTTGTTTTTTTCAGAAATGCCAACTCCAATTTTAGGAAATAAATAATAATATTAATATCTTGGTGTCCCAAATTAGTAACTTAAAAAAAATAGTAATCATCATTAGCATGACTGTCCATAAGTGATCTTTAATGTTATATCATCCAAATCTGTAAACAGGAGAAGTTGAAATTATCTGACAAATGTTTGTTTGTTGTTTAAAACCAAAGTCAGCAATATTCCTGCTTTTTGACAACGGTAAATAATCGAGCCTGGATCAGACAAACCAGTGACATCATGAGCATTGATCTACGAAATTGGGGTACAATGCATGCATTCACTTTCAAGACCATTCCCATTGCCCTGGGGACCGTCAGCACAAACCAAATTAATTAACAGAGATGTGCTCTTCAAAGCGATCTCACACTACTGAAAGTCTGCGATAAGTAAGAGAGTTACAACAGGTCAATGCTAAGGAAGCATTGGTGACCCTGCCCTCTGCAGCAATAAGCGTTCTGTTCAATTTAATTTGTTTCCGTGTTAAGCTTACCTTAGCAGCTGCTCCCCGCACAGACATAGCCCTGTCCGTCATGGCCTGCCGGGCCGCCTTGTAGATGTCCTTGTGACACGACCCTCCCGCAGACCCCAGCCCCGCCACCACCTTCTCCAGCGTCATCATGATCTCACAGCGACCTTGAGACTGAAAAATAAGAAAATATCATATATATAATCTGCAAGGTCATCAATAATCCACATGTTTAACTTAAATCAAACTAAGCTTTGTTGTTCACTCGTGTACCAGTATCTAATGATATGCAACATGATGCATAAAGTATCATTTTCAATGTGGCTGCCATTGGAAAATGTTCTTAATAATGACAAATGTTGGTTTGTTGTTTTACGTTGCACTCTGCAATATTCCAGCTATATGACGGTGGTCTGTAAATAATCGAGTCTGGAACAGACAATCCAATGATTGATATCATAAGCAACGATCCCCGCTATTGGGAACAATTTCCCAAATGCCTAATTAGCAGAAGGCACTAATTCATGGCTAGACTGGTATCTGTGCAAGTTTGATAAAGAAATAAAGATGAGTCTCTGAGCTATGCTCTGAAAACAATCCCAACCCTCATTTGAACCTTAGTCCAATTTGTGGTCATGGAAACCGGAAACAGAAAAATTTGGTAAATAGCAAAAGACACCACCAGTTCATGGCCAGAGAGATATTTGATGGAGATGAATTGAACGTCTCTGAGTTACGGTTCAATGATAACTGATAACCTGAGTTCTAATGTGGTGATTATCATCCAACCAGATTAAGAAGGCAATGGTTTAGCATCACTAAACTTAAGCTCTGAATATTCCAAAAACGTTCCCAACATCTAAAAGCAATGGCTTAGCATTCTTTACCAGAGCCCATGATTAAACTTTCCTGGCAGTGACATTTTAGTGTAGGTTTATGGCATCTCTGAGAGCTCCTCATTAATCAATTATCTTGACCGTAAACTCACTGCCCTAGTACCAGATAACCAGTACCATAAAACTGCTATTTCCCTTCAACAACTCCAGAAGGAGCTCATACTGAAAGATTTAGTATCCTAGCATTACCAGATTTGTCCATACTTTGACAGCAAAATTATGAAAATGTACAAGAAATATGACCCAAGGGTGTTAAAGTGATGCAGGAGAACACTCAGAGTTCTCAATTAACATAATCCAGGAACTGGAGGAAGGACAAGTGTCATTTTCCTTTTGACTTACACCTTTAGCATTAGGTAGACGCAAACTCTGTAGCAGGACTAATTAATGACATTTCCTTGTGGACTACCACCTTAACCATCAGATAGACGGCAACTCTGTAGCAAGACTAATGGCATTTCACTTTGGACTGCCACTTTTACCATCAGGTAGATGGCAACTCTGTAGCAAGACTAATGGATTTTCACTTTGGACCACCACTTTTACCATCAGGTAGATGGCAACGTGGTAGCAAGACTAATGGCATTTCACTTTGGACTGCCACTTTTACCATCAGGTAGATGGCAACTCTGTAGCGAGACTAATGGCATTTCACAGAACACCATTTTTACCATTAGTACATGGCAAATCTGTAGCAGGACCAGGGACATTTCATTGTGGATTACCACTTTTACCATCAGGTAGCGGCCGTCATATAGCTGGAATATTGCTGAGTGCGGCGTTAAACAACAAACAAACAAAACCATCAGGTAGATGTAGGAGATCGTGTTTGCAGACAAGTGAAAATGAAAAATAAAATCTAACCCTGTCAGTGTGTAAAACAGTTGATGAATAAATCTGTACTACGGTTCTTCAGCATAATTTAAATATTCCTCACGTAGGTGATGATTGGCTTACTGCTTTGCTTAACAGGCCTGTATGTTTGCAAGCTTCATAAATATACTCTCTCTGATTATGCTGGTAATGAGCACCTTTCCTTCATCGATGCCCTGCTAGTCAGTCTTTCCTCATCTCCCAGCATCACATGCCATCACAAGCTCTGACACCTGAATCAATCATCAGACTTGATCTCTTGGGCGTGGAAGCACTGGCACACAAACATTGCTACTGTCTGCTTACAGAGGGACTATGATCCATGGTATGGTGCCCATCTACGTTTTCTAGGTTCAGGCGTTATAGATAGTGCTATGTCTCAAACCAGGGTGATCGTGAACTCCAAGATTAGAACATTTGAGTCAGCAGATATCAAACTGAAAAATATGAATGAAAGATGCTGGACTGCCAGTTGCAGTCCTCCTTCACTAGAGCCAACCCTCATCAGGATGTCCCCATTACAGATTGTGCGAACCAATAGTCTGACTGACAACCCAAAAAACATGATCCTCTACAAGGAATACACGTGACCTTACAATCAGGTTACACTATGAGCAGGCCTCAAAGTTTAAAGTCTTAACAAGTTGCCATATGGCTACAAGTATTTTTTTCCAAGGTAGCCAGTGGTAAAATCAAGAAGTCAAGCCAATATTGTAGGTAGCCAAAAGCATTTGAAATTATAACTATTACATGTACAAGTCATAACACTAGTCTTGGAATTGTATATTAGTGGAAACTGTTCATGCTGTAATTGAGTTTTGTTATTTGTGAGTGGAACAATGATGCAATTTATGTTACTAGATTACATAGGTATATCCTTGCTTATCCAATAAACTATCAACTAAAATAAAATACTAATTACATTAATATTTATGCATTTCGGTTCATTGTTGACTTTAGGAGCAATTATTTGCAAGAACAATCAGTAGAAGACGTGTTTATTTTTGTGTCTTCATATGTGTAGCAATTGAATTTAGTTGCCACAAGATATTTTTTAAGGTAGTTATTTGGCTACCTCTGAATTTTAGACACTAGACAAATTGAAATTAAGGTCGCATTGGCCACCATTTTAGTTGCAACTTTGAGGCTTGATGAGTTAAATCCAACTAGTGTAATTCATTTCAGGACTAGTATCCTTTCTATGGTTAGGAAACACCTGCTAGTCCTCACAGCAACACTAGCAGCAGTACTAGTAACTCTGAATCAAGTGGATGAGTCTTGCAAAAACCAATCAAAAGTATTTGTTCATGATACAAATTGCATTATTCTTGATTGTTGCATGAGTTTAAAAAAACACATTCCAAAGTTTTATGACACAATAAAACTGTTTACTTCTGAATGAAAACTTGAAGCTTAAAAAAACCGGAAGACATGTACATTTGGGCCTGAGTAACGGTATGACAGCCTGCGTTTCCTTTCTTAATCAGCGTGCGTCATAACACATTAAGCAAATATGAAGGGATGCCAACACAGCAAATTATATCCGCACTTACTGACTGACATGTTGTGAAATGAAATTTAAACATGCACCAGGTTCGACAGTTCTTGAAACAATGAGATTAGTGCATGCTGGGAAGAATTAGAGGTCTAATCTGTTGAATCAGGCCTTCTTACCGTGATACAATATGGTTGATATCGATTGGTTCAAATAACATAAGATTACCATGACGTTCAGTCATTCCTTGATTTGGGCAAATATGACCACTTGCCAAGGAAATCTATACCAAATGTTGGTCGAGCATAAATATAATTACATTTTTCTTGTGTGCATAAATGTTTGTGTAACTTGGTAGGATTGGAACCGAGCGTTATTGATGAGCAGGGTAATTAGGTGTGTGAATGAATGTTGTCTCATGCTGCAAGTAAGCAATATTACAGATATATCTCTGCAAGGAGTAAATAATTAGACAGTTTGTTTGTTTGGTGTTTAACGCCGACTACGCAATATTCCAGCTTTATGGTGGTCCGTAAGTAATCAAGTCTGGACCAGACAATCCAGTGATTGACATCATAAGCATGATCCACGCAGTTGGGATACGATGACATACATCTACCAAGTCAGACCAGTGGTTGATACCATGAGCAATAATCCATACCACTGAAGTTGATGATACATAATCAGGCCTGTGGGGCCAGGTGACCGGAATATCATATCATCTCACTACTATCTTTTTGTATTGTTTGTTTGTTTGTTTGTTTGGTTGTCGTTTATCGCCACACTCAGCAATATTCCAGCTTTTGACGGCGGTCTGTAAATAATTGAGCCTGGACCATACAAATCCAGTGATTGACATCATGAGCATCGATCCACGCAATTGGGATACAATCCTGACCACCCGATCCTGTTTACGACGAACAGTCGCCTCTTACAGCATGCATGGATTGCTGAAACCCATCCCAACCCGGATCTTTCTGGATCTCTCACTACCAGATGTAGTGACCTGTTCCCACTGGCACAAATCAATCTTAGCGCTTCAGCTATCGTAAGCCTATGTTAAAGTATGGGAGTTATGAACATCTTAGCACTAAGATCGCTTTGCGCAAGTAGGCCCTGGAATTCCCACATGCATTATCCAGAATTAATACCTGAAAAAGCTAATATTTTAACTATTTCAAAAAAGTCATTCATTCACAATGCATCCCCTGATGTTATTTCATGTCCATCAAATGATAACAATTTGCACAAAGTCTACAGACAAGGATAATTTTGCTGTTTTTTTTGTGTGTGCAAAGTCTTCAATCACTGTGGATATTTCACTCATTTTCTATCCAAAATCAAATCTCTGATAACATCATAACATCTGACGTCTGCTATCATACCAAGATGTCCCGGAAATATACTGCTTATGTTACTTTGCACTGTTTTTTTTTAGTGTTCAAAGTCTTCAATCATTGTGGACATTTTACTCATTTTCAATTCATAGTTGAAATCTTTTGGTAGGCTTAACCTGACGATTGCAATGACACAAATTGGCGTCTGCTACCCTGTGACTCTCATCTGTCCCTGCTGGCTGGTAAATCAGGGAGCCAGCTCCCCTTTGACTTCCCCTTCACTACAAAAACCCATTACACTTTTTCCCCAGGTGTAATTGCTGCACAGTCACAAAAATAGTCCCGGCGCATCTGGGAGAGAACTCTAGATGTGGAAGTGGCAGCTGTTTCAAGAAGACAATACCAGAATTGTGAAAGGAACCCCTAATTATCCTGCCACTTAAAAAAAAAACCTGTACAAATTGTACATAAAACACCTACACGAAGCCATCAAACCTAAAAACAATCTCTATATCGCCTCTGAATAACTTTTGAAAAGAAACAGGACACCATCTTTTATCTTACAGGAATGGCACAAGACAGGGCTATGTTCAGCCACTTGAATTTCGGTTATTCAAATGAAATAGACCTGAATAATAATACTGTTAAACGATTAAGCAATGTAACAAGTTTCATCCAGACAGTTGAAATTTGTGTCAACCACGTGTCACCTCACAGCATCATTGCTGATGGCTGACCACTCCCCGGTAACAAGTGTTTGACTTTTTTGAAATTATTTATTGGATAGGTGGAGTGGTCTTGTTTGGTAAAAAATCAAGAACTGAATGTGAGCATGCAGAGCATGCGCTTTAGACACTCTTTTTAAAAAAATAGCAAGACGTAAAATTATGTTTTTTTGTTTTTTTTAAGATGAACAATTTTTGTTGGTTTGGGTTACTGGCATATAAATCAGGAATATATGTCTTTTTTTCTTCTGCATACAAAGGACATTCACATAAAATATGGAATTCATCTTCCTACAAGTTATATATATATAAATGATTTCGTTCTTTTTTGCTTTCTACAATAAGTTCAGCAACAGCCATATTTGATCTGAAACTTGAATGAAGGACTACATGTGTCAGGTTTCAGTCCCCTGATGCCTTTATAATCTGTAAAGAGATTTGTTGCAGATATATTCAAAAGATGGTTGCCTGATTTATTTTGATGCCTTAATAGAACTGGAGTCTCCGTGTGGAAGAGGCCACCCAACACCTAATTTCAGCTAAGTCCATGTTAAATATCTGGAGAGGAAGAAGAAAGACAACATTTCATACTATGAGGTCAGACGACCCTCCTAGCTAGTCTTGAGGGATAAAATATTTTGGGACACTAACTAGCATATGTTTGTTCATTTTTTTATCTCATTTTATCGAAATCCAGAAATCTGACCTGAGACACAACACCAACTTCAATTTCTTTTGAACAATTTGAGAAATTTGATAGCTATCAAAATATACAGCTCCAACTTAAAATAGAAGGTCAAGGACACTGTAAGAGGCAGGTCGGAATAAACTTGGATAAAATCTTCCAGATGTTGTGCAAAAGGCTTAGAATGAATGTTTTTAATCATTTGCTTTCATCTCTAAAACCTCTACAAGAATAGCTTCAGACAGAGAGGCTGTAAATAGCCAAGGACAATTTTGTTCCTATGTAACTATAAGCACTAATACAGACATGAGCTTCTGGAAATAATCCATAAATAACTGTTCCGAAAAAAGTAAGATATATAGCTAGTATCCAATCATGAAAAATATATTTTGATTAGCTGCACTTTCGTCAACACACACAGAAGCTCTGATGATACAGTGATGTTTTGGCAATGTCTGGCAGCAGACGGCAAAGATGTTTACAGCTGTGGGCAGACGGATGACACGTTCATAGCCAATGTTGCTGTCGGCACTTGTAATGTATGCCGGTGCATTCCTTGCACAATCTGCAGAGAATGCTTTTTCAGGTGCATGATGTAAGCCACCACTGCAAGTAACATGCTCCACTTTACCAGTTATCTCCCTTGAAAACATCCACGTCTAAACATAGCACTTAAGTATTTTTGTACATCAGGATACAGATCAATTGCTCCACCCAAAACCTATTGACCTTTACATGTTCTTACACTGTTGGAAATAACATTTATCCTCATGGTATTGTCCGATATTTATCAAGGCAAGTTTTTCCAATATCTATAAGCTAAAGCAATGTCTATAATGATCATTAATTGCAATTAGCATCCCAAATCCCCTGCTACATAGATTGTGGCACTTAACCCAAACAATGAATTTAGGTGAATAAGATGCTAATGCTTAGAACTTGGCAAAATACCAAACAAAATTCATCAATAGGCTGTGCCATGGAAGAGGCCATTTTTATTTCATATAGGTAGAAGATATATCTTGATACATGGAACGGTCCATGGAGTATGGGAGTTGAAGGTATTTTACACCAGTTAGCAATATTCCATCTATATCATGGCTGCCTGTACATAGTTGAGACTGGACCATGCAAACAAGTGGTTGATAGCATAAGCAACAATCAGTTATCATTCAGGTCAAACACGGACCACCCATTCATCAGTTTAGTCAACAAGCAATGGTAACTTGGAACTACCCTTCCCTGATATCCTACAAGGGGAACACAAAGTAAGTTACAATAAAGCAGTGCTCGACACTAACACTGGTCCACTTGTACGAGTATATTTTTTTAAGGGCCAGAACAATTTTTATAATGGTGGTCAGGTGGTCTAGAATTATATAGGGGGCAAACAAAGTAATTTTAGTTTGTATAACTTTTGAAATCAGCGATAGAGTCTAAACTCATAGCACCACTGTGTCTAGTAGAGATCTAAGAGGATCAGTTTTGGTAAAGTGGTCTAGGGTAACGTGAAACAGATTCTTAGGCTATACCCTTATTCATCATTGAAGAAAGTCAAATCATAAATTATCAATCTGTGAAGATACATTCAAATAATCCTCCCTTTGGTGTATCTGGATGACATAACTCTTGCTTGTGCCAAACTTACTGAGCAGGTGTTACTGCTCACACAATATTTATGATTATATGCATCAACGCTTAATTAAAGCAGACTATATGTGGCCTGTGTTGTAAATCAAGATACAAAGGGAATGTAAGAGCAGAATCTATCCGGTAAATAATTCACAGTAGGAGCATCTCACCAGACGATAGTTTGCACTTCTGAATACCTCACATGTTCCACTTTCCTGCCGATAATATTGCTGCTGCTTGCTGGAGAAATGCCAAATCACTGGACTCTCCAATCTTGAAGTGATCATAACTTATAGATGTACTTGTAAATGCTGGGCAATGTGTCAGCAGATTAAATATCACCTGCAAAATCTTCCAACTGAATTACGATCTAAAAGCTGATGCCTTTGAAACCTTACACATAATAACAAGATAGCTGACACTTAAATATCCAATGTTTGTTATTTGTGTGGAGTTGCTTGCCCATGGAAGATGCCTACAGTCTTGCAAGATGATCCTCTCAAGACAATTCAATTACACAGTGAGCCGATCCTTAAAGCAGAGATAAATTGAAGAGGAAAAACAATGGAGAAAAACAACCTCTGTTCTTCTGAGTACTGGAGTATTGGGAATGAATTTCACACAAATAAAATTGTCAAGACAATCGATGTGAATAATAATTCATTCATTAAACATACTCCAGGAAAAGGTCGTCACTTCAAGTTACAGATGTGATGGATTTTGTTCAAACTATTGATAATCTGAAACCTTCAGGGCTTGTCACAAGAAAATTATCCCTGAAAGTTTCTCCAACTTTTTAATTGCAATCACTGCAGATGAATCTCCTTGATTACTGGAATATTGACTGTAAACGTGTGTGTGTGAAGTTTAAGCCATAACAATATCATGATTGCACCATAGAAGCCCTGTAAGGATAGGGTTAGAAAAGTCTCCCAGCACCTAACAGGCAGCTTTGGTTGTATCCTCCCCAGGGAGCTGAGAATTATTCTTGAGTGTACACTGATCCAGAGACCGGGGTAATAATAGCGCTTTGAGCATGCCCCTGAGTGGTGTGGAAATATGTGTAATATAAATAGCCCATTATTGTTGTTGTTATATTGGATACAGCGGTTAAACTCTGTGATTTTGGAGTCATTGCACTCATCGTGGGACATTAATCATAGTAACTACTGCTCTGTCTGATAGACTTGATTACTTTCAGGATGCTGTGATATAAGCCTTATGACTCCTTGACTTTAATTCGCTACTGTGAACACTGACTTGTAGTGTGTGAGTGTTGTCATGTTTATGGTTCTTTTATGGACCTTCGAGACTTAATCTGATACTCAGTCAAAAGGAAAAGTATCGATCATAATGCAGCCTGCAACCAATGTGTCATATCGGTAGGTGTAAGAGTAAGGGAAACATTACTTAGCAATACACTCACAGGAGTGTGATAAGTGTTTTATGCCCTACTCAACAAAGTAACAGTTATATCACTGGAATTGGTCTGTATCATACAAACCATTGGTTGATGTTGTGAGCATTCATCCATGCTGACAGGTTTGATGACAAACAGGAAGGTATTGTTTGTTTGTTGTAAGACAAGCAATAAAGTGTTCCAGGCCTATTCTAACTCTGCTTTCATCAGATGCTAAATCTTTTCTGATCAACAAAGCAGTAAGCTAAACGTCATCTATATTTACAGTATTGGAGTTGTGCTGATAAAACATAAATAATGGTCAACCCATGCAACACAATTCATTCTAAGCAGCCATTGTAACCATCCAATCTCCATTTCAGTCCTGACACGCATGAGAAATTAGGGACTTGTTCTGCTCTTACATACATCTGTGCAGCAAGTATTGGGTACTGGGGATCCCAGGAACCCCAAACAGAAAGGCCCATTACTTACAAGAAATGTGGTGTAAATAGCTTTCTTACCATTTATATGTAGACTCAAAATAATCACTCATACTGAGAAAATAAAATAAGGCTGAAAAAAATGATATGTGTGTTTCAGGTAACCCGTGCAACCCCATGTTTAACTTGCAAACTAAATATGATATATCTCTCCTGGTTTTTTAGTTCTGCTCCGGAAACGAAATGTGATGGACGAACAGACAGCACCCATGCCTAATCCCCCTTCAACTTTGTGGCGGGGGATAATTATTAAATCAAAACAAATTACCAACCAACCAACCCATATTTGTTGAGTCCATGTTACCTGAAACAAGAAGAGTGTTGAGTTTGGCCTACCACAACACTGGACACGGAAGGACAGTGTTTGGTATGTCAGGTTACTCAGGTACGTAGCATCAGATGAAGAAAGGCTAAACTACTCACCTCAGCATTTTTGAGAGATTTGATGAGAATCTGTACTGTTTCTTCAAACGACCTGCCGACCATTCGGCCGAGTTTTTCATACATGGCACCCAGACAGGTGATAGCAGCCCTGTAAACATAAACAGGACAGTTAGTGATAGAGGTTATTGAAATAACACACCAGACTTTACTACAAGTGTATGCAGTCTTATACACAAACAGTACAGGTATGTACAAGGTAGGAGCATCAGCAGCCTCCACAAAGCAATCTGTGAGTCACGCTGTGACTTTCATAACTCTAAATTAGACCTTAGGCAGTCATCGAGCTGAACTTGCTTTCAGGAACCATGGGTGAGTGAGTGAGTTTGGTTTTACTGCTGCTTTAAACAGTACTTAAATAATATCACAGCATGTTAGCTTGACTTTGGGGAAGAGGTTGCAGTGATGCAGTTCTTTGATGTTGTTTATCACTCCAGTGAAACCCAAAGAAGAAATTATCTAGATTTAAGTACCATGTATTTTGCAATATTCCGGTCACACGACAGCTCAAATAACAAAGATAAAGACCTAAAAAAACCTCAATTTTACACTGACTAAACTGTCGGCCCTTTCTCCGAGGCTAGAATTGTGATTTATTTGGTTCTTTCATTGCCAACTAATTCCCTCCCCCCCCCCCCCCCCCGGCTCATCCCTCCTCATGAGACAGGTGATGCAATGCTGATGCATTAGAGTTGGCTCTTGGCTCAGGTAACCACTGTCTGGAACATGGAGTGTATAAATAACAATGCACTGCAAGTGCCTGGCATCCTGGGGAGTGTTATGGTGTCAAACATGCGGAATCACAGGCGACTTTTTGCCAAAACCATAACCATGGTAACTACAGAATCATGCCAGGTATTTACTATGTGTTTAGTGCCTGATGGAGGGATTGGCGATCTACACAGACCAGCATCATGTGAAACATGCAGCAGGAAGCACACCATGCACCTGATGACTGCCAACAACAGTCCTGGGGGGATGGATTGGGGTGGGTGGGATTAGGATGGGGGTGGGTGGGATTGGGATGGGGTTGGGGTTGGGGTTGGGGGTGGGGGGTGGGGGTGGGAAGGAGAGAAAATGAAGAAGAGAGAGAGAGTAGGTGGGTATGTTTGTTAGTGGTTGGGTGAGTGGATGTGTTTGTTGGTGGTCTATGGGAGTAGGTGGGTATGTCTGTTGATGGTTGGTTGAGTAGGTGGGTATGTTTGTTGGTGGGTGGGTGAGTAGGTGTGTATGTTTGTTAGTGGTTGAGTGGGTTGTTATGTTGGTGGTTTGGTGAGTGGGTGGGTATGTCTGTTGATGGTTGGTTGAGTAGGTAGGTATGTTTGTTGGTGGGTGGGTGAGTAGGTGTGTATGTTTGTTAGTGGTTGAGTGGGTTGTTATGTTGGTGGTTTGGTGAGTGGGTGGTTTGGTGAGTGGGTGGGTATGTTTGTTGGTGGAAGGGTGAGTGGGTGGGTCTATGGCTGGGTATGTTTGTTAGGTGGTTAGTGAGAGTGGTGGGACACTGGGTGGGTTGATGGATGGATATGTTTGTTAGTGCTTGGGTGAGTAAGTATAACACTTTGGTGAAATCATTGACTTCTATAGGACCAGCAGATCCTGGCAAGTCCATAGAATGTCAGACGTTCTTAAATGAGTGGCTGAATGAGAAAGATGGGACAATAGGATAGATGGATGGGTGGGTGGCAGGATGGGTGAGAAATGTGTTGGATGGTGGGGTGTGTTGTTAGAAGCATGAATACTTCAGTGTGTACATTGATGAGTGGGTGAATGGCTGGGTTAATTAAGCATTGTACATAAATCTCTTCAATCATGTCTATGCATATTTCTTCTCTTTCATTTACTGCATCTGACTAGGTGTTGTCTTAAGAGTCAAATGAATGCTGTGTAGGTGTCACATGAAACAGATACTCCACAAAACTGATTCAATAAACTATTGATCATAACCTCCGCTAATAAAATGTCAACCCTCAGTTCATCTAAGAAATACAGAAGACGTATAAAAAAATTCAAGTCTAATTAATTTCTTTTCAGCGACAGTGTCCTTACAACTGGAACACAATCAATGAGACTTTACATTAGCCTACCCCCCATGTTTTCCACATCGACCCTAGGATCATTACAGTGTTCGGCAGGAGACACTCATGTGGAAGAAAACACCCAGCAAGGGCCTCCATGACATACGCTCTTACAACACAGGACTTCGATCCCTACCTCAGACAGCTCTGGCCTCCATACAAAGCCAGGAAGTGTGTCAAACTAATTTGTCAGCAAAATGTTTGTCCCACAAACAACTTGACTGGAAGATTTGATTTATATGTTGATGTGATTTATTATCATCACTTGCAGTAAACATTTATCAATAAACATGAAGGATGAGAGATTATCAACTGGGAAAGCAAGTGGACTCTCTGTAATGCAAGTAAACAGAAAACCCCTCGAAAATTAGTTTGATCCAATCATCAAGGTTGATATAATCGGCAGTTGTCGGCAACACATTGGTGATATTGATTTGGCAAACTGCTCTATTATGACAGGTTGTCTGCAGAACTGATTATTGAAACGGTATAATATACAGTGACAACTGTCAACTCTGGAGCACTGATTGAAACAGTATGATATACAGGGACAACTGTCAACTCTGGAGCACTGATTGAAACAGTATGATATACAGTGACAACTGTCAACTCTGGAGCACTGATTGAAACAGTATGATATACAGTGACAACTGTCAACTCTGGAGCACTGATTGAAACAGTATGATATACAGGGACAACTGTCAACTCTGGAGCACTGATTGAAACAGTATGATATACAGGGACAACTGTCAACTCTGGAGCACTGATTGAAACAGTATGATATACAGGGACAACTGTCAACTCTGTAGCACTGATTGAAACAGTATGATATACAGGGACAACTGTCAACTCTGTAGCACTGATTGAAACAGTATGATATACAGGGACAACTGTCAACTCTGGAGCACTGATTGAAACAGTATGATATACAGTGACTAGCCATCAACTCAAACTCCATTAACCCAAGATATTTTCTAACTTCTTTGCGTAATAGTACTTTTCTGCACTGTGGTCTGTCTAAGATTGACACTGAGAGTCATGAATTATTAAATTTAAAGAAGAAACACATTGAATGAAATAAATTCTATTGTAACGCCAGATATAATAACCTCCAGCAGGCCCTATAACATGCATAAACTAATTTGACATATCAAAGTTTGTTATTCCGGTTCTTAAATCAACATAACAAGTTTTTCTATTTTCATTTCTAGAATTGGATTTGTTTGTAAGTGATGATATTTGAATTTGTGATACCAAGTAAACATTACAGCAGGCAATCAAACGTGTACATATTTCAAATTCCTTACTCATTCTTTTTGGAAGACAAAGCATGCAGCTATGAAATCAACAGGCATTTCAAAAATTCTTTCAATGAATCTTTATCTTGCAACATTCTTTCACCTCTCCAGTATTTCGGCTTATTGACCCAGGAAATGTCAAAAATATGAACATGTAAAAACATGTAAAAAATATTTTCTGCACTTAATCTGAAAGTGTCAACAGTATTTCATTATCTTTGTGTGTGCTTAATGGGAGGAGTGACCTAAATGATGCCAGTCTCAGATGTTTACCAGTTTGGTGAAACCCACGAGGGACTGGTGCAGAAAAAAATCAAGTGAGTGAATGAGTGAGTTTGATTTTTTGCCGCTTTTAGCAATATTCCAGTAATATCACGGCAGGGAACACCAGAAATTGGCTTCAGACATTGCAATGTCGGAAATCGAACCCGGGTCTTCGGCTTGACGAGCGAACGCTTTAACCACTAGGCTACCCGACCGCCCCTAGATCTTCCAAAGAATACCATAAGCAAACCCATCACTTCCAGTGTAGGGTCAGTAACTAAAGGGGATACTTGGGTCCTTCAGGTTTGCTGCTGAATATGTAGTTTTTAACATTATGGTACTGACGAAGCCAGTACAAAAAAACCTTTAGTCCTGCACCTTGAATGGAATATATGCATATTAGGATTCAAAACCATCATCACAACACATCATCTTTAGTATAAAATGAACATCAAAGGTGTGACAAACATGGTCTGAGAATACTAAGTATGACTTATTCCAAAATATTACTTACAGTCTAGTTGGCAGGTAGCTGGGAGAATCATCCTTGTTTCGGATGACATCATTGCACTTGTTGATGGTGTTAAACAGTTCAAATGTGTCACCGACGCTGAACAAAGTTGCCAGACAGCGTGCAAGTAATTTCCGTGTTGGAGGACCCGGTGATTCACTGATCTGATTGGTCAATTGCTCGATGAGCTTATTCTGACTTCCTTTGATGTCCGACTGAAAAGAAAAGCAGATTTATTGTAGAGGAGCATGAACACACTGGCATGCAGGTTTGTCTTTTTGTTTTGTTTTGTTTGTTGTTTAACGCCACACTCAGCAATATTCCAGCTATATGATGGTGGTCTGTATATAATAGAGTCTGGAACAGACAATCAAGTAATTGACATTATGAGCATCAGTCCACGAAAATGGGATACGGTGACATGCATCAACCAAGACAGCGAGCCTTACCACCCCATGACATTTGTCATCTTTTACGACAAGCACAGTCGCTTTTTATGGCAAGCATGGGTTGCTGAAGACCTATTCTACCCTGGATCTTTACGGGTGATTGACATATATCAACACTCAGTGAACAGAAGACCTTCGGGCATGTAACAGACTAAACATAACATGACTTGTAACATCATGGTTGGAGTGATTGTAACACAGAGTTTTGACAAGTGAACACTTAATACAGGAGTACAGGGTGGGGCAATGGAGATTATCTTCCCCAGTTCTTCAGATTTCCTTGGAAGAGGGTTGCTGACCATTAACAAAAACCAAATGAACAACCATTTTATAACAAAATGGATCCCCTGGTGCTCCAGTTCTGATACCGGAGCCTATTATTTTCACAGAACAAGAGCCACATAACCAACCCACAAGTACCCACATCAGTCTGAAATACTATCGATCTTCTGCTATGTTCTATTCTCTTGGCAAAATGTTCAGTAGATTTGAGTGCTACAATACCGGACTATTATTAGCTGAATTTTCAAAAGACTTTGGGCTTCAGGCAGGTAGCCAAAGTCTAAGATTTTAGAAAGGAAATGTAACTCATAGCTGACATAAAAGACTAATATCCTTCCATATTCTGTTTTTATTCCATATCTCCTCAATCCTGTGTCGCAGTATGGTCCTTTCTTTAAGTTCTACAATGACTTTCTGACCATGGTACCTCCATAGAATGAGGAGGATCCACTCTGGACAGTCCCTGAGTCTGTTCGGACCAAATGTAAATGTCCCATTTTCATTCCAGTCATTTCCTCCGACTAAGTCATTCCAATCTCTGTCCGTATTTAGCCCGAATCGAAGTGGATGACTTCTGTTAACCTTACTCAATGTAGCAGACGTCGCATTTTGTAGATATTGACTTTTTGACAGTCTGATTGGATAGCAATGGCGTGATGGTTTAGGAAAGGACGGTATCCGAGCACCGGCCTCACACTCAACTGCCTCGCTGATCTGGGACGCAGGTACTGATATGACATGAGTGATGAACATTTTACACCAGAATAAGTATCAGTAAATGCTGAGTGGTTCAACACAATTTCTTAAATGCTCATTTACCAATGTCAAGGTAGAGATACCGAATCATTACCATTTAAAATATATTAAACAAGAATCCAAGTTTAACGTACACAGCACATTAGAACAGGACATTTATGCGTATGGAATACATACTGGATACATCAGATGTAGTGTATATCAACTGATCCTATATTTAACCAAGAGTATATCAACCACAGTTTCAGACTGACAGCATGTATTAAAGACTACTTAAACCACCTTGTTCTAACTTGATTATGCTTTTTTATACACAATTATTAAACTAAACTAATTACATAACACCTGCATCCACTCTGGACAGTCCCTGAGTCTGTTCGGACCAAATGTAAATGTCCCATTTTCATTCCAGTCATTTCCTCCGACTAAGTCATTCCAATCTCTGTCCGTATTTAGCCCGAATCGAAGTGGATGACTTCTGTTAACCTTACTCAATGTAGCAGACGTCGCATTTTGTAGATATTGACTTTTTGACAGTCTGATTGGATAGCAATGGCGTGATGGTTTAGGAAAGGACGGTATCCGAGCACCGGCCTCACACTCAACTGCCTCGCTGATCTGGGACGCAGGTACTGATATGACATGAGTGATGAACATTTTACACCAGAATAAGTATCAGTAAATGCTGAGTGGTTCAACACAATTTCTTAAATGCTCATTTACCAATGTCAAGGTAGAGATACCGAATCATTACCATTTAAAATATATTAAACAAGAATCCAAGTTTAACGTACACAGCACATTAGAACAGGACATTTATGCATATGGAATACATACTGGATACATCAGATGTAGTGTATATCAACTGATCCTATATTTAACCAAGAGTATATCAACCACAGTTTCAGACTGACAGCATGTATTAAAGACTACTTAAACCACCTCGTTCTAACTTGATTATGCTTTTTTATACACAATTATTAAACTAAACTAATTACATAACACCTGCAGAGGTTAGGAAATATTCATGGGATAAGTAAAGGAATGTTGTTCCCCAAACCTTACTCACTGAAGCAAACCTCATCAGTTCAAAACACATGTTTGAATAATTAGATTCTGCATCTTATTGACTGCGAGCTGCTGCAAGTACTTTCAAGGAATGCTAGGGTAGATGTTTTTTTATGCTGTAGAGCAAAAGTACAGTAAATAATCCAGCCTGGCCAGGCAGAGAAGTGGTTGATAGCATGAGCAATGTTTCAGCACAACTTCTTCTGCCTTCAGATCATCTTGGTGTCAAAAATGGCTGAGAGTGAGAGAGTGAATGAGTTGGACTTTACACCACCTTATGCAATATTCCAGGAATTGTTTGTTTGTTTGTTTGTTTGCTGTTAAACACCATACTCAGAAATACTTCAGCTACAAGACGGCCGTCTGTAAATAATCAAGTCTGAACTAGACAATCCAGTGATTGACATCATGAGAATCGATCCAGGCAATTGGGATACAATGACTTGCATCAACCAAGTCAGTAAGCCTGTCCACCCAATTCCGTAAGTCGCACCTAACGACAAGCAGAGTCGCCAGGAATATCATGGATGACACCAAAAATGGGATTAACACATTGTACCACTGTGGGGAATCAAACCCAGGCCATTGCATGACGAGTGAAAGCTTAAACCACAAGACTACCCCAACGGCCCTAACAGAACCTGAGACAGGCCATGACTAGGCAGTGGTATTCATGTAAACTTGGAGATGATCTTTCATTTCATCACCTGAACACAGACTGAATAACAGTTTACCTACGAAGAACTTCTCAGTGGTTGTTAATGACAGTTCCTGTGCCAACAACCTAAGAAGTTGAAAAAGACTGCCAAATTTGAAATTGGAATCCCAGAAAGTTAGGGTAGGCTTTCAGTTGTTAATAACTTTTCCCATCTGTTCTGCTACAACTGCTTTCAACATGTTACGACCCTATCACACCACTAGAACGATTTATTCAACACATCTCAGGACCATCAAATTCCTTACTCTATATTTATGTCTTTCTCTGTGTTTACAGAAGCACTAAAATACACTGGCAGTCATTTCCAACATTTCAGAAGCCTTTGCCAATGAAAACAGAATGCAATAACTCTAGTCTGCGTTCACACTTGAAGTATGCTTACAGTTTGGGAACAGCAGTGAAGCCATCACCACTGACTTTGCCAATTCTCTGTCATAACAATCAATACTGGATCATTTTGTTCCTCTTGATGCTTTAAAACTTTTCAAGAATATCATCAACGCCTGGAGTCATCATCTGGCTTATTGATTTAACTTAATGTCAGGCCCCTCCTGTCAATTCAAAAATGACCTTGAACAGCTTCCGAAGAACCTCATGTTGAACACTCAATTTCATTTTCAAAACTTTTTGTTATCAATGCATTTTTCATGGACTTCTTTTCCTTCCAAATTAACTCTTTCAACACCAGTCAACCAGAAGTGTTTACTGCTGGGACACCGAGTTCCCAGAGACTCTTGTGTGATAGATGAAGCCAACATTTATCAAAGAAAATACCTGCTTGTAAAATATATTTGCTACTACATGTTATACACCATTTGAAAGGTCTGATCCTATGGTTTATAAATATGAAAGTTATATTTTTCAAATTATTTAAAATAATGCATTTACAATTTAATTAAATTCGTTGTAAATAAAAAATGTACGCTAACACGTTGTTAACATCCAGATTAAGGACCAAGGAAGCGAAAACTTGACGATTTTCGGCAAATATATGATTTCATAATATCCACGTACCTATTTCTGTTTTATTTTCATTGTTTACGTAATTGGAAAATCATTTTAAAAAGAATTATAAATAGTTTCTGTCATCACCCATTTCCCGATAACAGCGACTGTCCGCTCAGTAAAATGAAGAAATACCCCCGTTTTCGAGGTTTCGTATGAATAACACGTTCGTCGAAGAATGGCATATGACACATCGCTGGAAAGCTTATTCCTTCATCTACACGCTCGTAACATCGACTGGTTTTTTTCGTAGTTATAACAAGCGATTTCATTGGATTAAAATTGGTTTCTAATGACGCTTTCTTGCTGAAATCTGCTACAAGTTTCGTGATTGGTCAATTTTGAGCACGTGACCTAAGGCAGCCAATCAAACTACAGCTGTGATACCAAGCTCGTGTTCGATAAATTACAGAAGTTTGCGAAAGAATTTTGTTAAATCGTGTTATTCTGAACGTTTTGAGCAGGAAATCACGATATATATTAAAAATATTGAACTTCGTGAATGTATCGTGCTAGGTTACGAGCTGTGACAAAGATTTTTCATGCATATATTTTTGCATTAAACATCGTGTCCGAGCCGAGAATTCAAGGCGACGAAAGCCGAGATGTCATTTGACTTACATTACACGCGATCGCACGAAAAGATGGAAATAATAACTTAGATGTAAGTTTGAATACTTTTAGATATATTTTTGTTGATTTTATTCATTACTTTGTATAATACATTAAAAGATTTGTTTAAAACGTCTTTATTTTCCTCTTTGACGTGTTCGATGTGGACCCGTTGTCGAAATGTGTGTCCGAGAATTTTATTTTCAATAACATCGCGAGAAATAGTGAATAATTTTTTAATTTAACGATAAAAAATGTTAAATTGAAATGGAATATGTATTTCAGACATTGTGAAACGTGATAGATTTAATAAATGAATGACATT